TCCAAAATGATGGTAAGGTAAACATCTTTTAAAAAGGAAGAAAAAATCCTGAAATCTTATGAGGAAAAAAAATTATTTTTTTTAAAAAAATGGCGATTTATCGAATTTTGTTCCGTTTTTTTTGGTTTTCCGGTTTATCATTCAATACTTTACATAAAAGTTAAAAAAAAAAATTATGTTATAAAAGTTAATTTTTCTACTTATGCATTACGTTTGGATGGTTTGTTCAGTGTTTAAATTAATGTCAAAACAAAATTATTTTAAAAAGCTTAAATTGTTTGAAGCAGTGAGACATGAATGTATAAATTACATATTAATAAAGATCTAAAAATTTTTTTTATTCAAACTGTATTTTTGTTTTAAACATTTCTCTAATTATCAAATTATTTTTAATTTATCATTTACTTTATATGAATGATGCTTGATAAAAATTAATACAAAACAATATTTTTTTAAAATTAATTTTTTAATCGAAACTTAGAAGCAAGTTAAAACCATTTTTAAATAAACTTCATAGATTATTATAAAGATTGTATCAATGTTAAGAACAAGTTTATGTATATTATAAATGATTTGGTATGCTAATTTTATTATAATATTATATGTGCTTTACGGAAATATTATTCTAAAAAAGTAAAAATTCTTTTCTATCTATCAAGCGGCATTGGATCTGAGACTGTTGAAGAAAAAGATAGTTTTGTGGAAATTAAGGAACAATTAAGAATACTTCTCAAAAACCAAATTACTCGTTTTAGGTAAATATATTGCTCTCTTCTTCATAATTTTGTTTTCTTAACTTTTGGTTATCCTCTTAGAGGTTGTTTCTAATTCACCCCAGCTCACTTTTTTTTTGTTCTAGACTTAGTTAATAGCAAACTTTTATCAGTTTACCTGAAGCAGATATTGTTTACATTTGGTGCAGTATGGGCAATTTTTTGAAGCTCTACTCTTAACTCAACTTTTTTTTAAAATTTAAAATATTGTTTACATCTTTTTATTTTGTAGTTTAGTGTGTGCAATTAAATGCTAAAGTTTTAATTTATGCTTGTAATATTCATTTTAATGTTGCGTTAATTTTTCTTTCAATTTGACTTGAAATAAACTATCTTTTTATCCTTTCATTTTTTATCTTTAGTTTATAAATATTCATCATTTCAGGACATTGCCATTTTATTATTTCATTTTTAGGAGTTTTTTAATATTATTTTGCTTACATTAAGTTATTTAAATAATTAATATTTTATTCAGTAATTTGGTGTTTTTAAGTATTTTTCACAATTAACATTTAAAGGATTGCTCCTATATTATTTATGCTATTTAAGCAATTGAGGAAGTAAATCTTTTTATTAAAATTTGTTTTATTTACTGTGAACAATATAGTTGCTCCAATCAGTTTAAAAACAAACCATCAATGTAAAATTAATCCTCTACTGTGTGATAAATATTCTGTTGAATAACTATGTAAGGCTATAGACTTTGAAAAGAAAATTTTTTTTCCTGCATTTAACTCTCCTTAACTATTTGTGAAACTAAGCCTACCTTGTTATATATCACCAATAACTTCTTTGATATTCTATGATATATTATATTCTAATTATCTTGGCGAAAAAAATTAGTTTTCATATTTTGCTTTGTTGATTTATTTTCTGAAGCTGATAAAAAAAATTTTCTTAATAACATAGTAGAGCATCTTCAAATGTTCTTACAGAATTTCAATTATGTTGTAAATATAGCTATGTACCATTCATTTGCCCTCCATGGCAGATTCACGGTGACATTGTCGCAGGATGTTGCAGAGTTCTTGCAGCAAGAATTTTCCTTTAGAAAGTAAAAATGTTTGGTTTTCTTTTCTGCAAAAATTTTGGAATTTTTTTTCCCTCTAAAATTATATTTAAAAGATGCTTTTTTCATGCATCGGAGGGAAATGAAATGATTGTAATTTTTCGATTCTTATTTGAGAAGAATGAAAGATAAAGAATATTGAGCGACAAATTTCTGTTCTTCAGAAATATTTGAAATATTTTTTGCCTCCACAATTATATTAAAACGATGCCTTTTTCACTCATCAGAGGAAAGGAAATGCTCATGATTTTTTTATTCTTATTTGGGGGAAAAATTGGCTTTCTCTTCTTTTACTATTTTTAATTATATTTATTTTAGGAGTTGATGACTTACGAAATGCGAAAAACGAAATAATTGGTGTGTTTAATTCTCACAAAGTTTGAGAATATCTCCCATGATATTAGAATAAGAAATATTGCATATGCATTTAAAAAAAATACATATTATTTTATTATACCGAAATAGGTTTTTTTTTATCTTTGTAAATACAATGTTTCTGTTACTTTAAATTTAATTAATAATATGTATATTAATTATTAATAAAAGTATGTTGTATAAAGATATTAATGCTAGAGAGGTAGCAGGGCATTTGCCTTTTAAATCAAAATGCATTTTGCTATATAACATATGTTTTTCTATCTTTTGGCTAATTAACTTTTTTTTTTTCATGTTTAGGCATTGCTTCCCCTTTGGTCGACCAGATGGTGCACTTAAATCTGCACTTATAACTTTATGGTAGGTTTTAAAAGTTTGCATTGTGTTATATTTTTTGAAATACTCTTAAATAAATTAACTTTTCTTAATCTTAAATTTTCAGAATGTATTTTAAGGAATTGTTTTTTAAAAAACCTATATATGTAAGGAAAATATGAGAGAAAATGCAGAATTCTATATAACATAGTAAAAATAGTTTTTGAAAGGAGTAAATTGTGTATTGAAAGGAGCAAACAGTGAATTATTTTTCAGTCTCTTACTTCTCTTTATCAT